GAACAGAACTTCACTTCACGTGACATGGTTCGAAAGGTTACGCTGGCAAGCAGTGCAAAGTGACCATAAGAGAGTTGAACCAAGATTACATACCCCCCCCCCCCCCCCCCCCCCAGAGTGTGCAACACCTGATCCAGCTCTGCATAGGGTCTTGGTCGAGCGTAATCGGATCTTCTGATGTCATGCGTGCACTTCACACCAGCGTAAGGCCGGTCTCGAGGCAGGGCACCGTTGTTTTTGAGCCTAGGGTACCCGCGACTCCCCGGGTTCCCCTCAGGTGTGTCCGGTATTATGACACAAAGATCCGATTACGCGACCAAGACCCTAAGCAGAGCTGGATCAGGTGTTGCCCCCCCCCCCCCCCCCCAGTACATAACCCCCCAGGGGGGGTTATGTACTCTTGGTTGAACCCAAAGCAGGTTTGCGTATAACCCTGTATCATGCGCAGAGTGCAAATAATGTGTGCAGGTTCATCACGTGATGTGAAGTTCTGCAATTGCGGACAGCATAGGAGGAGTTGCACACTCTTGGGGGTTATGTGCTCTTGGTATTGATTGTAGTGAAGGCTTCTCAGTGCTTCTTTTCTCCCGGTTTCGCTGCCTTCTACTTCTCCAGCAAAGTAGGAAGGATCTCCAGTTTGCACGCCTTGACTTTGGTTGTGTGTACAGCGTAACCGTGCACGCACACACACACTCACTCGCTCACTCACACACTCAGACATGCCCATCGCAGAAGCGGTGATAGCGAACAGCGATGTTAGACATAACAACTTGTGCTGGGATTACATCATTCAACAGCTTGCAAGGCTGATGAATTGACCGCCACTAATTTTAGTCTGGTCCACACCACACAGCTGATTGAAGTGGCTTTTTCTGGCCAGTGAATCCCTATTTTCATTTTCTTTTTCTTTTTTTCCACACACACACACACCACCACCACCACCACCACACCACACCACACCACACCACATACACCGGCATACACTGGCTGTTGGTAACCACCTGGGAGAATGAAAGAAGAGCTAGGAGAATGAGAAAGAGAAGAAAGACATGTGTGACCATAACCGTCTCATAATAATACACCATGTACCATGTATACGCCCGTCGCAAGAGAAGCACGCAAATCTGCAAATGCACTGGATGTGCACCCACAGATTTTCTCTTATAGCAACGATAGCGAACAAGATCTGAATGAGACAGATCAAGACTTGCGCCAGATAACTGTCTAATCCACACAACTGGCGAAGCCATGTGAATCGACCACCAATGCACACCTGGTCTAGACCACACGGAGTACATCGGCATAAAACGGCCAAGACAGTTACTGTAATTAATTTTCACAAATTTTCGGTGTACTTTTATTTTCGGTACTTTCGGTGAATCTGTTTCATACCTAAAATTTCAATACACCGAAAAAACAGCAACACACATAATCCAACAGGGAACTGCTTCTCTGTACCGAAAATTTCTGTTCACCTAACCAGGCCTTTTGCCCTCATACCGAAAATATTGAGTGCCGAAAATTTCTGAAATTGGAGTACCTATGCACACCCTACACTTGCTGGGGTAACCAGTATAGACAGCACGCGGCTTTGATAGAAGCAGGCGCTAGATGCACTGGTACCTTGAAGTGAAATTGGAGTTACTTTACCAACCAGCCTCGGCTACTGAGTACTGGGAACCCAGAGCCAACAGACATACCAACAACCTCAGCCATGAAAGCTATTATAGTAACAACACACTGGATTGTGGAGCCGAAACTAGTCCAACTTCCAATGTAATCATACACACACACGCACGCACACACAGAACAGAACAGAAAAGCTGATGGTGAAATCACCGAGCAGCAAAATATAATAGCACTGTATTAGCACTGTGCTAACAGTATACTATTGCTCGTGTGTGTTGTCTTGTTAGGCGTCACAGGATTCCAGTGCAGCAACACCGTCACCCTTTGGCCAGGTCAAGCTCAAGTCGCGCAATACGGGAACAAACACATCGGTGAGGCTAGATCTTTGTGCTGCTGTCGGGTTTGGTTCAATCTCGATTTGAGCCATCAATGTTCAGCTCTCTTCTGCTGTTCTCCCAGCCGACATGTGTTCTCTTTGAGTTGGCTCCCTCCAATTTCTAAACTCGTCTTCTGCGCAGGTTCTCGCGCATCCTACGTTCGAGAAAAGTGCATGCAGAGTTGCGTAATGAGCTTGTAGCGCACTCCAATTCCAAAGGGTCCAGCTCACGCATATGCCCCTATCAGCATGGGTCAGTTTCAACTTTCCCTGCCACAAACATACAAGTATTTCTTGTGAGGTAACATGACGAGTTTAGAAATAGGCGCGAGCAACCTTAAAAGGGTTTGGTGCTGTCTTGACTCGAGCCACCGTTGTTCAGCACTCTTCTGCTGATTTCCCAGCCAACATGTATAGTTCAACAGGGTTTGGTGCAATCTCGAGCCATCCTTGTTCAGCTACCTTCTTCTGCTGTCTTGGCCACCGTGTGTGATCGTGCAGTTAAAGATGTGACATGGCTGGCCAGGGTATAGCTTGCTCGTCGATCAAACAAATGAATACATATTATCTGCGTACAAGCCTGTTGGAAGAATAGTGCCTTGTGCTGTTTTTAGATCCACAGTGCATAGGCCGCTGGTCACGCACATCTTCCAAACTTACTGTAAAGTAAGGCCAGAGCTCCCCACCATCTCATCCTTTCGGTGGTCGTAGCGTGGAGGTGGTCTTCTGTATGTAGGTCATACGACATGAACCCTGTACACATATTGCACGGTTTGCAGTCAATCCGTACCTTCAAGTGGACACAAGCTCCACACAAAAACCTGCCAAGTGTGACCTTAGTACACTAAGATTCTCACATCGTACACACTTCGTTCCACTCTGCCATACGATTTTCCTTTCTCTGGCTGTAAACTCAAGGTGGGGTGCTCTGGCGGTACTTTACGGTACTAGCAGGGCTCGAAACACACTTCATATTGGGTTCAATAGTCTTGTGTCGTCTCACTACATCAATGTAACTAAAGAGTATCGTGACTAGCGACCAGCCTGGTACTACAGACCACCGTGACTAGCGACCAGCCTGGTACTACAGACCACTTTGCCAGGCATGGACGTTCTCACATCCATATATGGTTGTGCGGTGCAAACCTCTAACTAAGGACCACCTGCCACTAAAGACCGCTTTCTCTGGCCCCAGGGCGTGGTCGTTTGTTACAGGCTTTACTGTACTGCAAGTCGCTGATGCAGATCATCACCTGGCCTTTTGATCCTCAGATACGGAGCCCTGGATTTCGATGTGTTGTATGTCAAGAGGTTGCGTGCAGCTCGAATGATACGAAGTTCTGCTCCCGTCAGTGGCTTGAATTGTCTTGACTGTCTGTCTGTCATTGTACCTCTATCTGTGTGATTGTAGGTACCAAAGGCAGATGAAGGGAAATCAGCATTTGAGGCAGCTATGTTGAAAAGAAAAGCTATGGATGGCACGGTAAGTTTGTCATCACCTTACTGCTGTATGTTAACAGCGCTCAACAAATCATGGCCACAGTGCTGCTAATGATTGCTATAGAGCAAATCAAGCTAGGGTGTTTGATGTGCACCGCACGCTAGTATGATCCATGTCAACCATCTGCTGATCCTCTCACCAACACAACTGCCACCACCACTACCACAGCCGTAGTCAAGAGAGGTAAAGTGATAGTGTAACGAGTTTGAATCAGAGTTATCGTACTCCCCATTGCTGTGGTACTGGCGTGACTTGTCAGGCTGTTGATCGCTTGTCAGCTGTCGTTGATTCATCACCTGCCAAGTTTGCCTCAGTTGCCAATGTGCCTTCTTCGACTTAGGGTCACGACACGTGTATGATGGCACATGCCTAAAGAGAATTCATACAGAGCGTCTCCGATGTGCTGTGTGTGTACGTGTGTGCGTGTGCGAATATGCTCTGTTTGCAGAGGACCGACTCCACTGCTTCCGACGCCGGGTCCAACGGCAACGTGTTTGGCGGTGTACTGAAGAAAACGAGCACGACGAGATCACCGCGTACCTCCACAACGGGTGCACACAACATCAGCGCCGCCGGTGCTGCTACGGCGTCTTCGGCCGTGCATGGCTCGCCGACCAAGGCCAACCCGTTCGCCGGAGTGCTGAAGACCGACAAGGGCCACACACCAGCCAACCCTCGCGCTGACATGGGCTCGCGCTCAACGGCTGCCAAGGCCAGTCTGTTTGGAGAGACGGCACAGAAGGGTGGTGGAGTTTCGGCTGCTCGGTCGAGATTCTCTTCCACATCCCAGGGCTCGCCCTTGCCAAACATAAAGAGAGAAAGCAAAGCTGGCGATGGTGATTCCGGTAATGACGGTCCCTCCAAATCAAACCCGTTCGAGGGCGTGCTTCGGAAAGGCGTCAGCAAACCCAAACCCCAGGTAAGTTTCCTGCCAACGCTCCATGTTCGTACATGACCTGCTACTTGTCAATCACTTGAGTGTATGCTGGAATATTGTATTGGCGGGTGTGTGTGGAGCACAGTGGGCAGATAGTTGGGCTGTGATTTGTTAAACAAACACGCGCACACCTGGTACACTTCACCGACCGTAGTATCTCCGTTCTGAACTCTGGACTCATCATTTTCGAGCCGTCCTCACCCGGAGCTTCTACTGGAGAGCCTGCCTTGTTGAACCTATATTTTGTCAAATTATGCGTGGCTGTATGTACAGGATCCTAAATTCCTAATACTGTGCCCATGTACATAGCCTCAGTGGATACTGGAGACGGCGCTGGTAGGTCTCCGAAGAGGGCACATGTTGAGCTTCTAAGGAGACGGCGCTGGTAGGTCTCCGAAGAGGGCACATGTTGAGCTTCTAAGGAGACGGCGCTTGTGACAAAGATGAAATGCGTGGGATAAACACCGATGTCGCCGTGTTTACGGGAGTAAAACACTGGTAGAAACCCGTGTGGGTGGGTGTGTCTGCGTGAATGTGTCGGCGTATCCGCAACTCTGTATGTGTACAACCGTATGTATGGAACATGATAGGAATCGAATGAGGAACGCGAAGCACCTGGAACACTTCCGTTTGCCGTCAGCGAAAGCAATATCTCGCCGTTTGGACCGTGCGTACGCCAGAGAGCGGTGAGTAAACCCTTGCTGATCCTACATAAACCCTTGCTGATCCTACATACACCCTTGCTGATCCTACATGCACCCTTGCTGATCCTACATGCACCCTTGCTGATCCTACATACACCCTTGCTGATCCTACATACACCCTTGCTGATCCTACATACACCCTTGCTGATCCTACATAAAGCCTTGCTGATCCTACATAAACCCTTGCTGATACTACATAAACCCTTGTGTTACTCAATCTACACACAGCTGCAGTGAAACCTGTCTAAGGTCACCGCTCAAAGGACCTTCAAAACGTTATCGCTGTTAGTTTTTTTAGTTTATTCCTAGCAATACATGCCTGGGGTAGCCAATGGGCACTTTGCTTGGCGATTAGACATGGTTAGCATTTTACCGTTCACGCTATTTTCGACGGTCGGCGTGTAGTCTACTGTTTTTGATGTGTTTTCGAGACACGGTTAGCAATTCGGCTTCTGTGTCCTGACTCCTGACGTAACCCTAGTTGGAATCTTACCGTTTCGTTCTCCCGCTAAACAGAGCTTTCTATCGTCGAAACGGAACCAAACCGACGGTGTTTTGGGTGTTGGGCACGAGTGCCGTTAGATCTAGCGCGTGAACTGTAAAATGCCATGTCTACACACACGAAAAACGGTACAGGCCGACCGTCGAAAATAGCGTGAACGGTAAAATGTTAACCATGTCTATTACCAGGTAGTTGGCTCCGTATCCAAGGTCATTTGACTAGAAATATCATGCCTTCACTCTATCACTTTGGCGATAGTTCCTACGAATAGCGTGGAGGTTCTCTTCAACCTATATGTTAAGGTGTTTGGCCACAATTGAATCAGTTATGAAACATGTACTTTGAAAAAACCTATCACCTCTGCCCGATATTCCAATATGAGACCGTGAAAAGGCCAATTCTAAGCTGGGGGTCTCTTCTTAACAGTCCCGTATTTTGAGGGCAGAGTCTTTCTCCCCTCACTTGTTGCCGTTGTCCTGTGGCCACACCTGCCGACAATTGGCCTTCTCCTGCCGACAGCAGCCATGATAATGTCCAATGGTGCCCTTCTGCTTGGTTTAGAAGTCATGATCCCGATATTTTTGCCTACACTGGTCATCATGAGTGTTTCTGTAGCTCTCTCTCCTACCCTGCTAAGCAAGATCATCATCAGTCTTGGGAAAAATCGGAAAGCTCAGTCTGAGTCTCACTCAGAACCGCGAATATGTTGGCGCATGTATGCGTGTGTATACTGGGGTTACTATGATTGGGGGTCTGGGGGCCTTTGCCCCCAGATGATGCCTTTTCTTTTTCTATCCTACTGATATTTGGCCAAAATGTCGTGGCAACATTGCCGTTGTCTCCCCTCCCTCGTCGCGTTACCTACTCTCCCATGTAACCTCTGTCTCGTCTCCCTCATCGCTGTGTCCTCCTCTCCCCCGTCAGCTTTATCTCATCTCCCCCATTACCTTTGCCTTTCCTTTCTCTCTCTCTCCCGTCACCGTTGTCTCCCCTCCTTCGTTGCGTTTCTCTCCCCAACCGAAACCTGGCTTCCAACCCCAGATGTTACCTGGGCTAGGGAGACACACACGTTCATGAAGCAGATCTAAGAAATTGATTATTCTATGTCTTCGCTGCAAACGTAGGCATCCACGGCTGATTCCTACTTCATCACCAGAAGAAATTCTGATCAGTCTCCCGTTCAGGACAATCCACGGCATGCTATCACTGTGAGTTGTATTGCTCTGACTGCAACTTCTTCATCCCTCTTCCTTCCCTCCCTCCATCTCTTCCCTACTCCTCTCCACTTCTTCCCTCTTCCTCGCTCCCTCTCTTCCCTACTCCTCTTCGCTTCCTGTCCCGCTACTCCTCTCCCTTATGACCTCCTCTTTCTCCTGCCTGTTCCCTGCTCTCTTTATCTCTCTCTCTCTCTCTCTCTCTCTCTCTCTCTCTCTCTCTCTCTTCCCCCCCCCCTCTCTCTCTCTCTCTCTCTCTCTCTCTCTCTCTCTCTCTCTCTAAAGCGGGATTCACAGAAGCTTTTTTGCGATGCGACAGCCGCGAAACCGGGAAATCCCCAAATCGCAACCATCGCGGACCCCACGCAACTACCGCAACAGGGCCATCGCGGAAGTTGAGCTTGGCTCAACTTTTGCGATGCGACAAGCGATTTGGCGTACGATGTTGGCCTTTTCTGCAGCAAAGTTGTACAAAGGTTCAAGAGTTGCCAATAAATTTGTACAAGTTGTACCAAACCGCGCGAATACCATGGTTAAGTACCCAAATCAGCACGACTTTGTCGCATCGCTGACTTCTTCTGTGAATGGTATTTCGCGAGTTCGCATCGCACGCGTCCATCGCAGATCGTGTCGCATCGCAAAAAAGCTTCTGTGAATCCCGCTTTTAAACTTTCTCTTTCGAGGCCTCCTCTTCACTCGTTTCCTCTCCTCCCTCTTCTCCGTCACGTGCACTCTCAATCTGTTGTTCCGGCTCACCTGTCGCACATCTGTCTCCTTCTCTGCACTCTCTGCGAAAACTACTGTTGCTCAAGCAGTCGATTTTTTCTGTACCAAGATCTTCGTTGGCATGTGTGCACTCCCGAAAGGAACGCACTCCCAGCATGGGGTTGCGCACACGCTCGTGTTTGTGTGTCTGTCTGCCTGCCTGCCTCTCTGTGCATGTGCGTCTGCTCAACAGGGGCGATCTATGAGTACATCCGTCTCGGCCACGGCTTTGGCTTTGGGCAAACGACCGTCTTCTCCATCTTGTATGAACTCCGGCCAGAAGGACTTCATACCCAAGTATGGTTTGCCGTCGGATATCAAGCGAATGAATGTAAGTGACTGGGCCAACTCCGGGCCTCTCATAGGCTGTCGGTGTAATGGGCTTGCTTGTTTCCTGTGTCATCACCTATGAAGAAGCATGTATACATCTAATGACACGCACCATTCGTAGATGCCGAGACCTCTAGTCGGTTGAGCAGGGCAGGCCCCACCAGCACTGCATCACCCCATGCTAGTCCCTTGTGCCTGCCAGTGAGTTGTGTGTCTTGTAAAATAAATAAATAAAATCAAACATGTACACAAGGGCCAAGGCAGAACAACAGAGACCCCAAGCTCTCCCCTAACTCCCAGTTGGTCTGATAGCAGAACAACAGAGACCCCAAGCTTTCCCCTAACTCCCAGTTGGTCTGATAGCAGAACAACAGAGACCACAAGCTTTCCCCTAACTCCCAGTTGGTCTGATAGCTGTTTTTGAACACAAAACTCTGAGTTACGAGAAAAAATTTTGGTCTCTGTTGTTCTGCCTTGTGTAGTACGCTCTGTCCTTGTTACGGTATTGCGCACTATTTGCAGCAAGGACCTCCGACACTTTGTAAATACAAGTACTGCTAAAATCCCACCAGAGCACCCAGTCTCTAGTCTAAGCTGTCCGCCACCTTGAGTTCATGCTTTGCTCTTGCGATTTAGTTTGCAGAATGGCCACCTGTTGCCAAGATTACATACCAGGTGCGTGCGCCGGTGTCCTTCAAGGGGGGGGGGGGGGGGGGTTGCGGGGGACCTCCCCCGAAAAATTTCCAAAAATGAAGCAAAATCCGGCATTTTGAGCGGAACAAAGGGAACATGTGTACACATTGTTGCTAGTTTATTGGCCTTTTTCAAGGATTGGGACGTTATGGTTGCTCCACAGGGTGTTCAGCAGTCTCTTGCTAGTGACCTTTTTTTGGGGGGGGGGGGGGTCTTGCTGGTGACCTGCAGTCTACTCTCAGCAATTAAAATCCCAGCATAAAATAAGTTCTCAGAATGCTATTTTACAGCCAAGGCATTCCAGATGCAGTTTTCCTGGAGTTCCCTTGCACACATAGTCATGGCTTTCCTCTGCTCTTGTTCTTGCTGTTTGTTTCTCGGCTTGTTGCCATTTGCAGAGCAGTCCCGCTTCCTCGCCCAACCTGTCCGCAAAGGCTGCCAGATGGAATCAGAAAAACACAACAACGACGGCGACGATTTCACCGAACAACAACAATAACAGCAATAACGCTGTCAACTTCAGTCGCGCTTCGCCGCTGCTCAAACAGGAGCCACTTGGCCTGCCCAGGACGACTGGCGTGCCCAAGTCACCGAGTATCAGCAAGCCGACGGATGACGTCCCGGAGTGGAAGAAGAAGTTGAAGAGCAAGGCGGCCGAGCGGCAGGCTCAGCAAGCGTCCGGCACGCCCGACGCCAAGAAGGACAACGTCCCGGAGTTCCAGCGTGTTGCCCTGCGCAAGACTGGCGGCACGGGCAAGTGATTTCCAGTGTAGGTGCTAGTGTGATAATAGCAGTGTGTGTGTGTTTCTTGCATGGAGCGGCGGCAGCGGTGGTCTGTTGGGATAGCTCTGTGGACCCGTTGAGGACAAGAGACACCGCACTGTTGCTGTGTCGCTGTTGCAGTTGCTACCGGCAGTGTTGTCATGTCGACCCTGATCACCGTGTGATGCAGTGATTCAGATTGTGGCCCTGTTCCTGGCATATGATCTCTAGCATGTCCGTGTGTGTGTGTGTGTGTGTGTGTGTGTGTACATTTAACTTTGTGATGCTGCTCGTGCCCCTGCTAGTGGCACACACCTCACCTTCAGTTCCCTTCCCAATGTCCAATGAAGACTGAAGCAAGGCTACATTACAATGGGTGATTGGGATTTAAGTGGCTTTACCTTGCTGGCTTCTCGGCCATCGGCACGGTACGGGCGACCATCACACGTGACTTTTCGGCCGCAGAATCGCTACTTTTCTTGTTTCTTCTCCCATCCGCTTTATATGAAAATATGCTATTTATAAACAGTTCTTGCGACGTACGCGTGGGGCTCGACCTGCGCTGTGTCCAGTTTGTGCGTGTGCGTGCCAGTGGCCCCAGGCAGTTCACAACAGAATTCTCTGCTTGCAGTGTAGGTGTTGCTTCTTGGTGTCTATCTTCGTTCCGGGTCATAGCCGTGGGGCGACATTGAGAATTTCTTTTAATTATTGAATGTATACTAGAGAGAGAATAATAGAAAAGTGACAGCCGTATAATTTTTTTCTACAGCTTCCGGCTTGTCGACGTTGCTCAGTTTGCATATTATAATATTATGTCTATGCTCTGGCTGGTACGCGGATCATGCAAACGGCTGCGGTTCGCCTGTGATGCAGATTGCTGGTGAGCAATGCTGCTGTAAGCTAGTCCCTTGCCTTTTAGCCATTTTACTAATATTTTACTAATATTTTTATGCCCTTCCCTGGTCGACAGGGTGGCCTCTGGCTATGCCGAGCCCCTGCAGAATTAGATCTATAAACTTTTAAATGTGCGTCGAGGTGGCTGCTGTTGTCCCGGACGAACGTGTTGTCACATGCGCTGCGTGTGTGCCACAAGTACAGTCGGACCTCGCTTTCCGGTTCTTGTTGTTGGCTGCCGAAGAACTACTGGGTGGTCGGCCGGTACTGATTACCTAGGCCGTTCTTATCTTCATGCACTGCAGTCTATGCACAGTTGAGTCACCGTGTATGCATTGGTATGCTGTGCTAGGTGAAATTCTAGCCTGTTCGTTCTTTGGCACTCCGCTCTTCTTCGTCGCCAAACGGTACCGACACCGACATGGAAAATGCCATGGTTCATCATTTCACATTGTCATTGTCATGTAATACGACATTATGGGAACTACAATCATAACATCGTTCAGTACGTGTACTGTAGACACTCTCCAGCTCCAACTACTTACTTGTTGACGTGACAATGTTTGGTACATGTACGGTAGCTGTACACCGAATTTGACTGGCCTGAACTTGAAATGTGAAAACAACAGGGGCAACAATACGTCACTGCAACACCTACATTGTACAACAGGGGGGTAACAGGCTACAGCACCTCGAAGATGAAGCAAGCCTTGCAGTATAGCCTTGCAGTATATATTATCAGCGACATAGGTTTTCCAATGCTTACTGGATTGATATCTGTTCGTTGCAACCAACCTTCCGTCATTTTTTCCTTTCTCTTTTTCTCTTGTATCTACTTTTTTTTTTTTTTTTTTTTTTCTCCACAATATCCTTTAACATGTTATTCACAGTGGGTCCAATGTTATTAGGCATTTTGCCTGTTTTGATTTCCACTATAAATAAAGTATACAACAACAAAAGCATAACAGTAACACAATAGAGAGGCTAAATGGTGCACGTTTTTTTCTGACATGATGCAAAAGTTCAGCTCGCGTTATTTGGCTCGCGGGTCGAGAAACAACGCGAGTGACCTGCCACTCTCGTCTAAATTTGGAGTTTTACGTCAAATTTGACGTGAAATTGCGCGTCACGTCGGAAATAACGTGCATCATAACCTCTCTAATGTCCTAAGCCTGGCCCGGGGTTATGTACTCTTTCTACCGTACTGGCAATATATGTTGCCGCAGTGAGGCCATGAAGCGTTACATTGGCACATGTTTGCCGCACGCAGGGCGTTACATGCAAAGTCGCACAGGAGCCGGTACACAGGTTTCTATTGCCGCAGTCCTTTTTTTGCTATTGCCGCATCATGTTTTCTTTAAAAAAAAAAAGATCGCGCACCCCGCCGGACGCGCGTTACGAACTCAACGAAAATTTGTCGCACTAGCCTGGTCGGGCGTTACGCGTTACGCGGCAACATAATATTGCCAGTACGGTAATTTCTATGGTTTCGCTCGCTACGGCCCATATAACATTCACAAGGTCGAGGGAATGAACAGGGGCAAAGTCTGAAGAAAAAATTGACCGTCAACTCGAGCCAGGGGCTTTTTTGCAAAGCTCTCTAACCGCTGATCTATGGTGCATGGTGCAGACGTCATCCAACTGCCCTTCTACATACATACATGCGTGTACCAACTATGAACACCCCGGCCAAAAGTGGAAAGTTTGTGAGAAATGCCGGGATAATGCTCGATTCAAAGTATTGCGGTGAAATTTCACTGGATATAATTATCATGCTATTCATAACGCATGCAGCGAGAGATACAATGAAGCTAGCACACCAACGCAGGAGCCGAATCCCAATCATGGTAGCAAAACCACTGTCACCAACACCAACATGCATGTTGCATCAATATTGTACAATACAATGTATTGTAATTCTACAAGTATCACCAAGAGTACATAACCCCCCAGAGTGTGCAACGCCTGATCCAGCTCTGCATAGGGTCTTGGTCGAGCGGAATCGGATCTTCTGATGTCATGCGTACACTCCACACCAGCGCAAGGCCGGTCTCGAGGCAGGGCACCATTGTTTTTGATCCGGGAGTACCCGCGACTCCCCGGGTTCCCCTCAGATGTGTACGGTATTATGACGCAAAGATCCGATTCCGCTCGACCAAGACCCTATGCAGAGCTGGATCAGACGTTGCACACTCTGGGGGGTTAACCGGTTATGTACTCTTGGTATCACGTATCATGTACATCCAAGTGCTGTGGGAAATTTTAGCACACCACTCAGCCAAGCACGATCGTGCCAACTCTCCCAGACTTCACCCTTCAGGCCCGAGACATGTCTGTATTTGCAAAGTACATAACCTCTGCATAGTCCAGAGTGGCTTTAGTTCAGAAGATGGCGTGGCCCGAAAATTCAAAATTTAATAATTATTTAAAGTGATGATGGTGCATCACGGAGATGGTTCCAAAAGAGAGGGAAGATGAATGAATGTGATCGGAGGATACGAATACAGTGTGCATGTAGGCACATTGTGAGAAACAAAACGTGAAATGGCAGGAGAAGCACGGACGAAAAAGTTTGCATTCTCTTGGCGACAGGGAGCCAACAGCCAGCAGAGGATATCACGACGTTAAAAACTAGTCGCTTGCGAAGAGAGGAATTCTTCACGATTCAGTTGCAGAGGCCAGCTCGGCGAGTTAGTTTTTCTCTCTCTCTCTCTCTCTCTCTCTCTCTCTCTCTCTCTCTCTCTCGAGAATTTAAAAGCGATTTAGTAAGCAGCCAAATCGAATGGCATACGAACAGGGACGCAACCTGACCAGCCAAGCGCGTGGGGAGCAACACAGGAGGAAGTAGGCAAGTGATGTTCCACTATTAGTACTCTTAGCACCGAGACTGTATAAGGTATAGGGCACAGAACAGTAAATACAGCAACAGCGGCTAAACAGTTGCAGCACGGACTACATGCACATTCATGCGCTGTCAGAACGACAAGTCGGCGGAGACGCAACTCAAAATTTGCACATTCGGGCAGGGCAGATGGGCCTCTGGCGGAAATCAAGGCCAGAACGCACAACCCCCAAGGAAGCAAAGACGCAGCAGCCGTCGTAAACACCGTGCTCAAGACGAGCGCGTTCCCCAGATCTGCTGCTGCATGGCCAGGTAGTCATGGTACCCGCTCCAGTCACGGCGGCCCTGGTGCAGGCGCTGTATGCACGTACGGATGTAGCCCTGCATCCGGTCGGCGTCGCCCCCACGGCTGTCGCGCAGGCACAGGCAGTGCCAGCCGTTCGCCTCCAGGATGGCCACGTGCGAGCGCAGCACGCCGAAGAAGCGATCCGACTGGTAGACCCTCATGCCGGCGGTGACACCGACTACGGCCACACGCATGACATCATCGCCGCGGAGGGCCAATGGTTGTAGCGGCGTAGCAGCAGCAGCCCCTGTTGCCATGGTGTTGCTGCCCATCGAATTGTAGTTGACGACCTGGGTGTGCCCTCCATGAGACCGTGGTGCATATGAAGTATACAGGGGGCCGGCATTTCCACTCCTGGACGGTGGTGAGCTAGACCCTGCGCCGTACTCTTGCCGCTGCACTATCGGCTGCCACGGGACGAGGTTGCCGTGGCAATCCAGGCAGAAGGCGCCGTCAATACTGAAGCCATACTGGGTCATGGACGGCGCCAGCAGATAGGAGCCGACGATGTGCTGCAGGCACATTGCCATGGGACGGCTGAGCGTGGGCTTGACGGGGCCTGACGATGACACGGCGGGAATACCAGCATTCGGCTGCTGCTGTTCCGGGCTGTACGCGATCATTTGCTGCACATCATGCATCAGACCATGATCGGACTGTTTAGAACGGGCCAGGTCATTCCTGTCGATGATGGTGCGTATCGTATCACGGTCGACCAGCGGCTGTGTGCGACCGCCGGGGAACGTCAGACACCAGAGGAGACGCACGGCAGCCGACCGATGCTCCGCTACAAACTGGTGTTCCTGCAGCAGGCATGTTGCTATGGTGGAGCGTACAGCGGGTGCGATTGCAATGTCCAGCATGGTGAGGCAGTGCAGGCACTTGGCAACGCTCTCCACCTTGTCGCCGTCCAGCAGCCTGCCGGCGTCGTTCAAGCGCGTCAGCTGAGCAGTAACGCTGCACAGCCAGTTCTCGGGGCGAGAGCGCAGCTTCTTCAGCGCCATGCACAGGTCTCTGGAAGCGGAAAGGCTTAACTCCTCGCCACCGCCGTCGCCAGTGGCGACCGCACCGTCACCAGACCTCGCCTTGGCGCCGCCGTCGTGTGCGGGCGCAATGACGCGCGACAAGGCGAGCAGCGAGCCCAGCACGTCAAACACCAGTCGATCGTGATGACAGGAGAGTGCGGCCAGCGTCACAAAGCACCCCAGCAGGGAGTTGACGGACTGCGAGGAGTAATAGGTGTCGGGACTGGCGCCGGCGGCAAACTGCACCGCCGGGTCGCCGGGCCGAGCGTGCACGTTGACGCCGGACGAGAACTCATCCAGCAACCGGCGACACGCGTTGTCCAGCATGCGCAGGAGGTGCGTGATGAAACGCGGCGCTTGCGGCGACGAGCACGCATAGCGGCGTAGATCCCTGGCTAGGCGAATGCTGGACGCCGCCGGGAACGCGTCCAGCCGGCGGCCAGCGATCTCTTCCAGCAGGCTGTCGGCGATGCCCAGCAGTGTGGCGCTCGTTTCGTCCGTTTCAGGCCGCCGCATCCATTCACCGGCCGGCGTGTGATCCAGACAGTGCGAGCACACAGCGCGCTGGTCGAGAATGCGCGCGCACATCTGCACCTCACTGACCAGCAGCGCGGGCAGTCGCCGGCTGTCGCAGAGCTCTCGCAGCACGTGCACGACGACATCCAGCGGCACGTCCAGAAATAGCACGCTGTAGTTGAGCATGATCAGCTGCAGCGCCGGTGCCACGGCGTCGCGCCTATTCCGCAGTACCTCCACGAACGCACAGTGCCGGCTGGTGTACTCCCGCAGGAAGAACACGCGGCACAGCTGGTCGAGCTTGCGCTCGGTCAAGCTCAGCAGATGCGGTGCGGCCGCCTCGTCCAGCCGCTCCAGCCAGCGGTCCATGTGCAGGCCTCTGCCCGCGTCCGAATTGCCATGGGTACACAGCTGGCACACGACCGAGATGAGGAGGCTGGCGTCGAACTCGCGACGGCGCGCAAACGCAACGTCGAACGCACGTCGTCCGATTGCGGACACGTCACGATGCATCTGGGCGAGAATAAACTGGCCCAGGGCCAGTATGGGCAGCTCTTCAAGACTGCCGTTCACGAGCGCATCGATCTGCTCGGAAAAGCCGTGGAAGCACTTTGATTTCTCGCGCACTGAGCGTGTGGAGCCGAGCGTTGCGGAATGATAGAGTGAGATTGTGTCGATCAAGCTCAGTGCGTTGCTTGCGTGCAGGTCTTGTGCTACGGACAGCAGCTCATCCAGCTGTGTAGGTGTCAGCTTGGGCGAGTGCACGTACGCTGTGGCATAGACCTTCCGCACAGTTTCTGCCAGTCGGGCGCCGTCTCGCGTGCGCTGAGCATCGTGCACCGCGATGGCCAGCACACTGTGCCCGGCCACCGTGCACAGCGGCCAGGGAAGCTCCTTGTACGCAGACAGGCTGTCGGAAAGACTGGCACGCGATGCCAGCACCTTGCGCAGTCTCTCGCTAAACACCTCGTCTTGCCAGCGGTCAGCGCCAGTCTGCGGCGGTGGTGTCGGGCTGGCAGAGCGCACATCGGTCAGGACACGCTTCAAGCCCGCGGGACTCCACGCACAATTATTCCACAGCGACGCGATGTCCTGCCACGAACTGGCCGCGTCCAGCACTTCGGCGATCAGCGCACGGTCCGTCTGCATGCACATAGCTCGGCGAGCCACCGTCTGCCGACATCCGCACGCCAGCAGAGTCACACTTCTGCTCCACCGCACACTGAACATACTTGTGGGTAAGTGCTGATGGCGATCAGAGCCACTGCATCAGAAAGCGCATCTGGTCACCGTGTGAGGTGCTGATTGTTCAAAGGGTGTTGGCTACCATGTGTCTGTTTGCTGGTCCACCCAGGGCCCTATCTCCACCATAACTACATGGCTTATACCCTACAGTCTTGCGTGTCACGTAAATCCCCATACACACTATATATACCCCGAGTCCCCCTCTCAGCTCTGAAGAAAAGTGAATGTACAATGCGTAAAGGCAAGTTTTTCTTAGTCAAATTCAAAACACAATAAGTATTATTTCTTTACGAGAAGTGAGGCTGAGGGCAGTTGCTGGCGGCGTGACACTTGAGACCCTTGCACACCAGCTACTAGTAGTTTCGGTACCGGACTGGAGCTAGCTGCTGCTTGAACGATATTGGAAGTGTGGAGCCAAATCTAAAATTATAGGGAAGGAAAAAATGCTAATCGGGTGATGAGGACTGCAAAAAATGCGTGCGTGTGATGGCCTCAGATTTTGCTCTTCTCACATGACATGAGATTGGCCTCAAACCGGCAAGACTTTTGCCACTTTTCTTTTCATTTCTGTTTGAATTTGCGAGATGTTCAAGGTATCAATCGCGATTCGCGGGGGCCCCCGGGGGAAGATCAGCGTAAACCCTGCATTTTGGGGTTTCACAGGGATTTACATGTACGATACGCATCATTGCTCTATCTCCGCCAGCACTGCATGCATGCAGCAAGTCCTGCAGATCAGGTAGCTACGTAGAGCAAGAGACTGGATTGACCGTCCCCAGTGTCTTTTCGAGTTTCTTTGCCAGCTGGGTTGCTGTTTGTTTGTGAGCTTCATCGACAAAACTGATTGTATTTGTGGCATTTCTTGCAAATGTAAACCTGTCCCAGTTGGAACCTGGGGCAGAGCGTCACGATGAAAGACCGTCTGGCTGCTCTCCATCAGGCGGTAAGGTGACGCGATCTGTGTGTACGCTTTATTCTTTGCCATCGTGAAGATGCTTCGTACCTGCAGTCCTTGCCCGTTGTTCCTCTTGCCTTCTGTAGCTGTCTTGCTGGCCAGATTTCCGTACGGCTGTTCGTATGCATATGCCGACGTTCCTGTGCGTGTGGATGTGCGCGTGAGATGCGTGAGAGTGTGAGAGAGAGAGAGAGAGAGAGAGAGAGAGAGAGAGAGAGAGAGAGAGAGAGGGAGAGAGTGTCTGTGTGTGTGTTTGTGTGTTACACACCTAGCTTGCACTACTATAATAGTACATGCACATCTGCACATGTGTGATGTTGCGTTGCCTTGAAGTCCTTTTCAATGATTTTGTTTGTATTACTGATTTCGCAGGCCCATGTGTCCGCCGATGACTTCGGCGATGCAGCCCCTCACGATACCGAGAATGCGTCTCAGCTTTTCGATGAGGTACTTGCCAAATAATTATTTCTTTTAGAATTCCAGTTGCACTCTCATTGTGACTTGGTTTATTCTTGTCAATTATGTGGTGTTCAAGTGCTTGACAGCCGTCACCTATCAGGGGACAAAGCTGGGTGATGTGGGACCCTCGCGCGTGTATGTGTACACGTGCTCGCGTGTGCGTGTATGTCTGAGTGCATGTGTGTGTATGTGTGCGTGTACAAGGGTATGTGGTGTGTGTGTCTGTGTGTGGTGTGTGTTTGTGTCTGATACATGGTGTGTGTGTGTGCACGCGTGCCATGTGTGTGTGCATGCGACTGGCTTCAGTGCACCTGTAATCGACATTGTTAGCATTCTTATGGCGCGTTCGTCTGGTACAAATTGCACTGATCTGAGAGCAGAGTAAGCATATGGAGCAGTGCGAGCAGTCAGTTCCCAGACGAACGCGATGGAGCACGCAGAGCAGTTTTGCGACGTTGACATGGAAATCATGGCTGAGTTCATCCTTTTTCGAATTTGCGGGAAATTCGGAAAAAAATAACGTCGGAATCACAAAACGAGAAGTTAAGCAGCAGCAAAACGAAACTACTCTGCCTGCTCTAACTCAAGGCCTGTAGCAGCCAGAACATGCTCTGGTCACTCGAGATCAGGTGCAGACCAGCTGGACACGTACGTTCCGAGTGATCCTGTTCAAGTTCGGGTGGAATTTATTTATACCAGACGAATGTGCCCTTATTGTTTGCTCGATTTCCCCAGTGGTCTTATCTTGTAGGCTAAGCACTGTAATTTTGGTAACGCTTGGATGTTACTCGTACCGTAAAGTACTGTTGAACCGCCCCCTGTCGAATTTCTGTCCCCTGTCGAAAATTTCCGTCCCCTGTCGAATTTCCGTCCCCTGTCGATCTTCCACCTGTGAAGTGACTTCAGTGTATACATCAGAATACAGCGTTGAACCGACTCATGCACTGCTGCTGTACACAATACGTGCCATGCAGTGCAGGTCTGCCAAGTGGATCAAAATGTGCACAATCCAGCACAGCAAGTCTGATTTTTCGTGTAGTTGTACATAGTATTGCACTTGAGAGCCTTGGTCTGATTCCTGCCCCTGACTGAAAAGCCAGCTGGGAATGGACAAGGCGTACGGGGTGGATCAACGCTACTTTACGGTATACATGACTGTACTGTTCTCGCACGATTAGTGCCCCTGGCCCTGGGGCACTATTTTTTCATTGTCCATCACAGATAGAGCACTATTCAAGAGAGGGTACTATTTTTTCAATGTTGGTACATGTCATCCAGCATACAAAACAAAGAAGGCAGGGAAAACACAGAGCCTAAAGTGTACTGTAAACTATCCCGACTGAAGAGAAACGGCAACAAGAACTGGGGTTTTCATCCTGAAACCACCAGTGCAATGAGATGGACAAGAACATTAACAAAAAACACCAAACTTGCACTTTTGTGCTTGGTTACAAGCCGGATGGAGGGCGGGGCACTATTCAAGAGAGGGCTTTATTTTTTCACTGGCTGTTAGAGACTGGGGCACTATTCAAGAGAGTGCTCTAATCGCGCGATTACGGTATCAAGTTGGGCCAAAAGATTGTGCTGCACTCTGCTGCACTCTGCAGCTCCACTATGGAATGTCATGCCTGTTTTTTTTCTCGCCGGTCATCTCTCTCTGTCTCTCTCTCTCTGTCTCTCTCTCTCTCTGTCTCTCTCTCTCTCTCTCTGTCTCTCTCTCTCTCTCTCTCTCTCTCTCTCTCTCTCTCTCTCTCTCTCTCTCTCTCTCTCTGTCTCTCTCTCTCTCTCTCTCTCTCTCTCTCTCTCTCTCTCTCTCTCTCTCTCTCTCTCTCTCTCTCTCTCTCTCTCTCTCTCTCTCTCTCTCTCTCTCTTCCTCTTGCCAATGCGTGTGTATGTTCGTCTGTGTGCGTACGTATTGTCACGCCGGGTGTCTCCAGATCGAGCGAGTACGCGATGAGATTCAAAAGATCCAGATGAACGTGGAAGAGGTTCGCAAGAAGCACAGTGCCATACTCGGATCCCCGTCACCTGACCCAAGTGAGTACTAATATGCTGCTGCTAGTCTCTGCCTGACCAACATGTCACGATGTGACTGTGAGCTACAGAAAAGCCTGTAACTAAAGACCACCGCGACTAGCGACCAGTCTGGTACAGTCAACTTTGCGTATAACAACACTCGGCGGGGCATCAGAAAAGTGTCCTTATTCGCGAAGTGTCCGTATAGCCAAAGTCTCATATGTATACAGTTAGAATGGACTTTGCTCTGGGCATGGACATTCTGTCTTTATCCGCTAATTGTCGTTATATCCGCAGTCGTTTTGACTGTACTACAGACCATTTTGCCAGGCACGGACGCTCTCACATGATGGCAATGCGGTGCAAACCTCTAACTAAGGACCACCTGCCACTAAAGACCGCTTTCTCTGGCCCCAAGGGGTGGTCGTTAGTTACAGGTTTTACTGTACATGTACTAGTATGGTATACTGAATGAAACCCACCGTGGTGGCAACAGATATTGGCGTGATCCGTACCGGCGGTGAGTGCAGATGTCAAGTGCGATACATGTACACCACCTTTGATATTCCCTGTATCACATGCTGCTGGCCTTTGTTTGGCCTCTGGGTGGATACTCTAGGAAATACATTAAATTTTACGGAAAGCTTGCACTTCAATGCTCGCAGTTGGCACGCGCCCAGGCTGGATGTAATCATGCTCTTTAACCTATGTAATAGCAAGAGTATATAACCCCCCATATACTCTTGGTAATACTTCCTCCGCGTCATTAAAATTGTCGCTTCGCACATTGCAATATTTGAGACTTGGCTCGTCTTAGTCAGATTGTCGGAATCGCTGTTTTCTGTGTTCGAACACTGGTGCGACCCTTCCTGCGCGATGTCTACTTGTCACTGAAGCCGTGGTGGTCTCGGACTTTGTCGGAGCTCTCTTCCGCACGAAGCAAATTCATCGCGCTGCGCACTATTCCGCCCCAGAGCGCATTTCGTTTTCTGGAGTTCGTGCCGTCTCACATCGTTCGCGTGGGCATATATCAAGACTGCAAGCTCGGGTATAAGAATCCTGGTATCTCTCCTGAATTCGAAATACTGAAGTTGACAATGGCAAGAACGAAGTGTTCTCAAATTCCAAAAATGCGCTACATGTTACACAGGGAATTTTCTAGAACTGCCCCAACCGGTTTTCGACCGGTTGAAATTGTTGGCGACCGGTTGAAAAGTTACAAATCAGTTCCAACCGCCCGTACTTTTCTGTGGGTGAGTGGAGCTGCGCATTATCTTTGCTACACTCCAGCACCAAGAAATCTGTTAAATTGCTGTCGAGTGCCATATTTGGGTTGAATTTTGAAAAAAATTTCCGGGGGACCCCGGACCCCCCGACTCTTCATTGGACCGTAACCGGTTGGAAATTCGTCCTAGAATATTGTATGTGGCCCATCTTGCTGTTAAGGTAGCAGGTCTGAAAACGCCAAGAAAATCAGCGAAGCGCTTGCCGAGGAAAGAAGGTGCGGAACTGCTTATCCTATCCCGCTGGAAGGTCGTTACAGTGCACTTGAAAAAATGCTAGTTTGCCATCATCGCCTGCCACCTGGAGGCATGGATTGCTTGAAAACGAAGTTTCTTGAACTGATTTTGAACGCGCGTCTTGTTCAGCGTATTGCTGAGTGCTGAAGGGCCTGCCTCAAACTCTGATGAAGACGTCGACCTTAGCTGCAAGTGCAGCAAAGCGGAAGGCCACAAACTAAAGCTTGGTCCGTCGACAATGCTCTTCCTCAATTTCTAGCTAATTTCTATGCCTTTCGAGTGGACAAAATAAATTCGAAAAATTGCTCTGGGAAGCAACAATTTTAATGACGCGGAGGAAGTAGTTATACTAATCGTGCACAACTGGTGTTTCTGTTGCTGTTGTCACCATTCTTGCTCATGTTTTCGTTTTGTTTTTGCTGTGTATGTTTTGCAGAGGATAAAGAAGAATTGGAGGCGCTTATGTTCGCAATCAAAAAGTCTGCCAATGCAGTGCGGGCAAAGCTCAAATGTAAGCCAGTATTTGTTGAGTTGAACGTGTTTCATCGTCTAGCTACATGCCAGAACATCTTTGTACTGTACATGCCGTCATGGTGTACTATATTGTGCTTTGAGTGAGCTTGGCTTCTAGCTCGTAGCAATTGTCTCACGCTAAACATACCCGCACTAGTAATGCTGTGATTTGGCGCGTCGCATGTGCGTGTGTGAGCATGTGTGTATCTGCACTTGCACGTGCATAATATGGTTTTGTTGTTGTTGTGTGCATTCTGTGTACCTGTAGCTATGGAAAGTTCACTCGAGAGTTCCACGCAGCGACACTCGGCCGACTTCAGAATTCGTAAAGCCCAGGTAGGGACATTTCAGCAAGATAAGTACAGTTCTGGCCAGAGAAATCCAGCCTCATGAATAAAGCAGCGCCGCGTTCGAGTGCACATACCAGTATGTGTGGTAGGGCTGCGTAGTGCCCGGCTCTATTTTCTTCATGAGATTGGATTTCTTTCTCTAGCAACATTTCAGCAAGTACAGTTCTGGCCAGAGAAATCCAGCCTCATGAATATAGTAGCGCCACGTTTGAGTGCACAGACCAGTATGTGTAGTGCTAGAGCTGCATAGCGCCCGGCAATGCTATTTTATTCATGAGGTTGGATTTCTTTGCCCAGCACTGCAGTTGTTTTCTTTTTGACTGTGGCTCGGCAGTGCTGTGTTAATTGTTATGGCCTGTGCGCCTGTAGTGGTTTCTCCACTGGGCGAGCTTCGCTATCATAATCTTTTGCTCTCTCTCTCTCTCTCTCTCTCTCTCTCTCTCTCTCTCTCTCTCTCTCTCTCTCTCTCTCTCTCTCTCTCTCTCTCTCTCTCTCTCTCTCTCTCTCTCTCTCTGTCTCTCTCTCTCTCTCTCTCTCTCTCTCTCTCTCTCTCTCTCTCTCTCTCTCTCTCTCTCTCTCTCTCTCTCTCATTCTCCTCCCTCTTTATTTTTTCTACTGCAGCATGCGGCACTATCACGACGCTTTGTGGATGTGATGTCGGAGTACCCAGAACGATTACAGAGAGCAGTGTAAGGAGCGCATTCATCGGCAGCTGGAAATCACCGGAAACGACCGCACAGTGGACGAGGTGGAGGAAATGTTAGAATCAGGAAATCCCTCCATCTTCACTCAAGGTGTAAGTAGCACATGTGTGTGCACACACTGACACACACACACACACACACACACACACACACACACACACACGTGTGCACACATGTACACACACACACACACGCACGCGCACAAGTGTGATCATATCTGTGCTTGTATGTGTATGTGTGTGGGGGGTGGGGTCAAGGGTACCTTTATGCTCGTTACGTTATTGTTTTTGGAGTGGTTATCATGACTGGAAAATAACCAAGCGTGTATGCGATTGTGTGATTGTGTTCAGATTCTTGTGGAGACAGCGCAAGCCAAACAAGCACTTGGTGATATTCAGGCACGGCATAACGACATCATGAAGCTGGAAAACAGCATTCGGGTGAGTTGATATGCGCCATCAAGCTAGCTCAGCGGGTGCAGGTGTAACTCGGAGCCAGGTTATCAGCACCTCTCTTCGTATACTGCACCAGACTACGCATGCTCTGCTGCTCTTTGATGTATAACCTAAGTTTAGGTGCCTGGTTTCTCTGCCGGGGGAAAAAACGTTTTGCAGAAAAACATATTGTACGGTTTGTTCCCCAGTGCGGGTTTGACCCCGGAAAATGCTGTGCGTGTACATTGTACTCAATAGGGTGTTTCGTCCTCATGAGCATAGCACAAGGAAAGGAAATTAAATTCTCAGGGTCTAGCCAGTAAGCTCTGCACCACACCAAAGTAAAACCTGTCAAGACGACCACACGATACAGGACCAAGGGCTATCACTTCCACTAACATGACCCTGGATAAGGCGACCGCCTGTGCCCGGGTATAACGTTTTGGGCATCTCGCTAGCAGTCAGTAAGCAGTTTCATACCATATGCCCGCACCTTTAAAGCCATGGAGGTATATTCGATTATAAAGCCAGTCTCACTTATAAAGCCAGTCTCACTTATAAAGCCATGGGCTTCAAAAATGAAATGACTTTTTTTGAAGTATGTTTTGTAAAAAATGAAGAAATAAGTACTATGCTAACAAACTTACAGCCCAGCAGTAAGGGTGAACAGGTGGATTTAGATTGAAATTTCTGTGTTTACTTTGACTTTTATGGCATGGCGTAGTGGGTGAGTCATTTTGCATCTAAAATAGCTAGGAAAGCAGCGGTGTTTCGAATATAAGGCCATGGCTTTAAAGGCGCTGACATACGGTATGACTCCGGGGGGTGTGTAACTGGCTCCTGCTCTTTCGCTATCCTGGACAATAAGCTCATTGTGCATTGCCAAATATGGATCACATGAGTAATGCATGCGAGTACGCTGGGATCAGGGATGCACTGCACTGTCCAACACCCCCAGACGACCATGCCCACGCACAGGTGGCTGTGTGGGGTGTCCGCGGTGCAGATTACGTCATTGCGCAATGGGCGTATCCAGTGCTGCAATGGTAGAGCTCCACGTCACATGACACGCCTGCATATTAAAAACTGCTAGGTTCATTCTGACCTACAGCGCCAGGTGGCCAGCAAAGAGTTCTACCCGCGACAGGGTTACATACAACTCTGTGGCTATCATGAAGAGTACATAACCCCCCAAGAGTGTGCAACTCCAGTCTATGGGGTTTGCGACAGCAGACTTCACATCACCTGCCAAACCTGTACACGATATTTTCACCCGGTGCATGGTAGATGCATGATTTTACGCAACCCTGCTTTGGGTTCAACGCTCTGCTGGTCGCTTTGCACTGTTTGCCAGTGCAGCCTATTGAATTATCACGTGATGTGAGGTTCTGCCGGCCACGTAGACTGCAGTTGCACACTCGTGGGGTCATACACTCTTGCACAAACAGTACTAGTGATGCCACTACTACTCATCTCTCTCTCTCTCTCTCTCTCTCTCTCTCTCTCTCTCTCTCTCTCTCTCTCTCTCTCTCTCTCTCTCTCTCTCTCTCTCTCTCTCTCTCTCTCTCTCTCTCTATACCTCTCTCTCTCTCCCTCTCCTTCCTTCCCTCCCTCCCCCCCCACTTTGGCAAGAGAGCCAGAGAAACGCTCAGTTTGTTTGATATTTTGCTGTTGGCATGTTTGTTGTTGCTTGCAGGAACTACATGAAATGTTCATGGACATGGCAGTGTTAGTGGAGCAACAGGTAAGCGCAGACCACCATGACACTTCAGTTTAGCTGCGTCTGGAAGTTGTGTGTGTGTGTGTGTGGATGGGTGTGTGCTCCAATTTCACTTCAAGGTACCAGTGCATCTAGTGTCTGCTTTTATCAAAGCAGCGTGCTGTCTATACTGGTTACCCCAGCAAGTGTAGGGTGTGCATAGGTAACTGTCTTGACCGTCCTATTTCGATGTACTCCGTGTGGTGTAGACCAGGTGTGCATTGGGGGGTCGATCCACATGGCTTCGCCAGTTGTGTGGATTAGACAGTTATCTGGTGCTTGTCTTGATCTGTTTCAATCAGAATCAGATCCGCTATCGTTGCTATAACGAGAAAATCTGTGGGTGCACATCCAGTGCATTTGCAGATTTACGTGCTTCTCTTGCGACGGGCGTATACATGGTACATGGATGGGTGTGTGTGTGGATGGGTGTGTGTGTGGATGGGTGTGTGTGTGTGGATGGGTGTGTGTGTGTGGGTGTGTGGATGGGTGTGTGGGTGGGTGTGTGTGGATGGGTGGGTGGGTGGGTGTGGATGGGTGGGTGTGTTTGGATGGGTGGGTGCGCACGCGTGTGTTTCTGTTCGTGTCGATTTTGCAATCCAGTTCTCTGTTTTACTGGACTGATTTTCTGATCCTCTTTCATTTTCTCTCTCTCTCTTTGTGTGTGCGTGTATTCAGGGTGAAATGATTGATCGTATCGAGTTCAACGTAGAGAACGCAGCAGCGTACGTTGCCGAGGCTAAGGTGCAGACGAGGCAGGCAGTGGTCTATCAGAGTCGTGCACGCAGGGTATGTTGCTGTGGTTGTTCCATCATGTAATCAATGCTCAATGCTCATTGTGACCACTGTTGTCGCCACTACCATCGGCGATGGTGGTGTCACACTTCTACCTTGCGATGGCGTACTACTAGTGGCCTCCAGCCTTCTCTACTGGAATGTTCCCTCTCTCTGATGGCTCCTCCTGCTCCTCCTCCTGCTGCTGCTGCTGCTACTCCTTGTGCTACTCCTGCTGCTGTAGTAATGGGTTCTTTCCCCATGTATTGATCTGATCCTTCGTCATCTCCTCCCTTGGATGTGGTGCGAGTGCCCCCGGCGAGGGTCATACGGCGATTGCCACACCACTTGGCGCTACCTTCCCGATACTCAATGAATGGCATTTCACCAGGCCGGCGGCGGTGTGTTAGCGTGCATGCAGTCCCACACCACACTCATACACACGGGCGGAGGCACTCGCATGCACTGGCGCACACACATGGCTGCATCAGTCATGTGTTGTGTGGTGCGTGTGTGCGAGGCGTGTGTGTGTGGCACGAATGGCTGGGCGTTTGATAATGTACTCCGAAGTGGATTCTGGGTGCCTGCCCTGTATATCGTCTCTCTCTCTCTATCTCTGCCAGCAATGGTGTGGGTCTCGGCTAAGCACGTGTGGCATTGTGCAATCACTCTCTGTCCTGGAATCGTGACAGCAATATAATAATTCGGCATTGCACGCACACACCGCCGCGGCTAAACCCTAAACTGGTATGTGTAACTTGGCTGTTGTTCTGCTGGAGGGGAGGGGTCAATCTACTCGTTATTTAGATGGAGAGGCAAGGGGTTCTCTGACTATTTTTTTTGTGTGTTCGTGTATGTGTGTGTGTGTGTGTGTGTGCTTGCGACATGCCTGTTTTCTGTCTTTTTTTTTTCATTGCACATGCGACCGTTGCCACCACTGACGTTGCTTCCATGTCCATTCGTCATGTCCGTCACGTCACGCCACGTCTCTGCATTGCACCACCTGGCATCGCCACGTCTGGGGGGTCACCCTGCTGCTCGTTCTCGTTGCACGGTCACGCCGGTCGCCCCTGCTGCTGCCCTCTCGTGCTCGTCTGTACGCTCGTCCTCGTTTGTTTGCGTGCACGCGTGACGCGTGCTCTCACGGGTCCATGGTCACGCCGGTCACCCTGCTGCTGCCCTCTCGTCCTCGTTTGCTTGCGTTCGCGTGACGCGTTCTCTCACTGGCCCATGCACGCCTGATTATCCGTTTGTGTGCGTCCATGTACACAGAAAAAGGTGATAATCATCGTCGTGCTCGTAGTGGCGGTGTTGGTCGGCGGTGCCGTAATAGCTGGTATTGTGGCCGGTGTGGTCGACTAGGATCATTGCTGGAGTGCTGGCCGGAGTGGTCGGATAGGATCAGTGCTGGTATGGTGGCCGGTGTGGTCGGATAGGATCAGTGCTGGTATTGTGGCCGGATAGGATCCGTGCTCTCTGGCAACCTACTGCTACAGAGCTGATGCTGTTGATTGGTGGTGACAAGGCCGATTGTTCATGATCATGATGATTGTGGCGGCGGTGAGATGCGGTATACCTTTTTTTGGTGCGAAGCGGCAGCGCCTTGATCCGAGCTCGTTGCAGCTCTCTCCCTCTCCGCCTTCGTCGTGTCAACTGCCAGGCCCGGCGTCTGTGACATGCACATCTGTACCTAGTGAACTTTGATACACCGTCTCCAAGTGTTGTCGTGGCACTACGGCACATATGTATGACGACGGTCGGTCGAGGAGGAAGCTATCCAGTTGCTTGCTTGTATTGCCCTCCTAGTCGGCCGTGATGGCAACACCTCAACTGCTCCCGCACCATCCTACACCAATCGCGCATGCATTCACGTGCATCCCCGTGCGCCCGTACACACACACACACACGCACACCTACACTGAGTAACATTGAATAGCTTAGCTGTGATCGCGCACACGTCTTCCCTACGATAGTTTGTTTACTAACGCCTGAGATCCCATCACGTACATCCGTTCATATTACTACTACACCTCTCTCTCTCTCCCAGTCACTGCAGCCGCTGTCGCAGTGTACACATGGTCATGAGCGGGTACAGAATTGATTTCTCCAGCTCACCAGTCCCTATGTGCATGCATGATTACATGTGGGTACGCGCTCATGTAAAGCATAGCGCAGTGCGGGGCGCACAGCCGGCTGCGTTGCTTGTAGCGACCTGTCAGCGCACTTCCCGGTCTGTATTTTACTCGTTAGCGTGCGCCTTGATAGCAGCTTCCCGTAACTGTGCTTTTCTTCTGCCTTTTTATTATATTTCCTATTTGTTTGTTTTTTGCATGAGACTGGGATTTTTTAGACTTTTGGGGGATATGTTTCAGATTGCTACATAGTCGTACATAATATTTGGTATATAGTGGACCTCTCATCCCTGGTGACTGGCGGTGGCCGCGTCCCTGCTACCGCCTTCTCTGCTGCTGCTGTGTGCTGCTGCCTTCAGTTTTCCTTTGCTAGACTTGTGTTTGTACATGCCCGCTTATTATCTTTGCCCTCTCTCTCTCTCTCTCTCTCTCTCTCTCTCTCTCTCTCTCTCTCTCTCTCTCTCTCCCTCTCTTTCTCTCTCTCTGTCATCCACTCTCTGTCATCCACTCTCTCTCTCTCTCTCTCTCTCTCTCTCTCTCTCTCTCTCTCTCTCTCTCTCTCTCTCTCTCTCTCTCTCTCTCTCGCTCACTCGCTGCTCATATATTATTAGGTAAATGCCGTGCGTTGCGGTCTATTTGCCGCTCCAAGCTGCCAGCTCTGTTCTGCGTTCCTTGCCCTACTTGCTGTCTACCTGGACACAAAGTTTCATTTAAATTGCTCTCGTCCTTTCTGTTAGGTCCCCCTTGTGCTGTGATTAGCTAGCCTGTATTTCTCTGACCATCTGTGTACTTTTGAGTAGACTAGCTCATTCTTGAACCAGTGGCCTCTCTCAATGCCTCTTGTGGTTGTGAACTGTTTGTTGTGTGTTTGTATATCTGTGCGTCAGTCTGCTTGTGCGTGTATGTGTGTGCTGTCCGTCTTGTCAGCCATTGCTGCTGCTGCGTGTCTTCATGCCCTAGCCATACCTGTCCTGCCACTGCCCGCACCGCTTTTTTTTGTCTCTCTCTCTCTCTCTCTCTCTCTCTCTCTCTCTCTCTCTCTATGTCTCTCTCTCTCTATGTCTCTCTTTCAGTATCTCTCTCACACACACACACACACACACACGCACAGTTAATTATTGTTTTTATGGGCTACAGTAGGTTGGAAGCCGGAAAGGTTTTCAACTTTTCGTGAACCTCGGCCATGAAAGTCAACAAATTATAAGAACGTGCCAGCTTGAAGGCAACTTGCTAATTTTAGGAACTCCAGTGTGTGCTGTGTCATGTAACCTGTCCCCACAGAATAACGCGGACGAAATCCTAAAATTATGCGATGCGCATAATCATGCATGCGAAAACAGGCCATTGTGCGGCAAATATGCGGCATAATGCGGTCATTCTGCACGAGTTCTCTGTCACTTGTACAACTTAAGCATGCAGTTTCATGCAAGTATACAACGTTGTCGTACAAACTCATGCACCGGTACGACTTTGTAGTACATTTTCAACATCATGTACTATTTTCTTGTACATTCCCATGAATAACGCGGCTTTCATGCAAAATCTCTCGAAAACGCGGGGGAGAACTGCGCGTCCGCGGAATGGCGGTATCCGGTGGGGACGGTGTGACACTGCTTTCAAAATGTAGTAGAACAGTGTTGCTCAATGAACTCCAACCGTGCGAGTCCAGCATGCACCGGTCCGGGCGATGTGCAGCCCGCCAGGCCTGTAAACCGGTGGTGCAGTCACGGCAAAATGGATTGACTCTCACGGTCGGAACTCATCGAGCAGCACTTTACAACTGTCCTGGTTGGAGAAACCCGACCCGAGACCGAGAGTTCAAAGTACTTTCCAGTTCAGATACATCGTGCACCGGTGAAAACCGCATCCGAGGGCCGCATGGCGCTGCGTTCGGCTCGCGAGTCGGATTTCTTTGCTCGCAGCTGTATTTGAATGTGCAAGTGGCACGTTCGTAACCAAGACGACGAAAACAATGGGACCACTGCTTGATCCTTGAAGGGTGGTGGCGTTCCTACGGATGCGGAAAGCCCGGCTTCCAGCCGAGTCTCACGCGAACCGTGAATTTTTTTTTTTTTTTTGCCTGATGCGCCAACCCCCAGTCTTATGCGCCCGATGTTACTGTACTTGTGACAAGCAAGCATGTGCTGAGACAGTAGCAAGACTGTTCGCAAGTTCTGAACTTGGTGCTACTGTAACAGCTTACTCTACTTATTTAGACTACAATAATTATATTATAATAATACTGTGAGCGGGGAACATCACAGAAGAAAATCTAGGAATTTGCGGCGCCAAGTCGGGTAAAATCTTGGCTTGAATTGCGGCGAAATTGCACTACTAGTATCTGTGACGGCTTCTGGGGCACTTGTAAGTGGATTGGCCAACCTACTGGTTTGCCTGCTAGAGAGGTGAATTGAGAGTTGTCTCACAAAAAGAAGGTTGGCAGAGTGGAAAGGAAACGTTCAGCCCTCGTTTGTGGTGCCAGCCACTGACATCTGCAGACTCTTGACAAGAACTTCATCAATGTGATACACGGGCGCGCGCGCACGCGCGGTCGGACACACACATACAACACACACACACGCACACACACACACACATGCACACACACACACACACACACACACACACACACACACACACACACACACACACACACACACACACACATATCTGATGTTTTTATTCCACTAAACTGCAAAACTCGCAGAAGATATGGGCAACTGTGGAGCAAAACGAACACACCTAAACCGGAAAGTCCTCCTGTATTGCAACAAGGAATTTGTCTCTGTTTTTGTGTGATGTTTAGCAATCATTGAATGTACAAGTGTCTATATTGTGCTGGGAATGCATCACCGCCCGTCGACGTCCTGGGATAGCAGCCTCCCACCTTCTGCTTCATGTCCAAAGTCGCCGTATTTCAAGATCTTGTAATTATTTGTAACTCTCCTGGCAATCACATTGTCAGGCTTGTGTATAAAACAGACAACTCCTGTCTCATTTCACGAAAATAGACATCATGCTCAAACGTTATCTTCTTATATCTATTTGGCTCAAACAGAAACCTGCGTGTGCGTGCATGTGTGTGTGTGTGTGTGCGTGTGTGGGTGTGTGTGCGTATGTGCATGTGTGTGTGTGTGTATGCGCGCGTGTTGGTGGGTGTATGTGTGTGCACGAGTGAGTGCGCGAGTGAATGCCTGCATGCCTGCGTGTATGCAGGCCCACAAAACAATTATGTCAATTATTATGTTTCTTTGCTATGAAATTTGTAATAATTATATGAACAAGGATGTGAAAACATTATGCGAACCGACTCCTATGTGCTGTATTTCTATTTATTTCTTTTCTATTTTCAACCCTGCTGAGATTTGGGCATTTCTAGAATCATTTGTATAAGCTGTATCAGCAAGTCCACTCAATACTGATGTGTGCTTAGGTATGGTCTGAGATATCTTTATCACTAGCAGTTAAACCTACCCGGGTACCAAGTGGCGCACATTTTTCGTGTATGTATGTGTGCGTGCGTGTGTGTGTGTGCTCTTTCTCTCTCTCCCTGCTGCCCCTCAGGGGCCCACGTGACTCTAGTGGTAGTGGCTCTACAGGACAGGTGTGTGTGTGTGTGTGTGTGTGTGTGTGTGTGTGTGTGTGTGTGTGTGTGTGTGTGTGTGTGTGTCCAACCTGTCGGAAGGCTACCCTCTTGCCAAAGCATTTTGGAAGTTTGACTAGTTTCGGCTCCACAATCCAGTGTGTCGTTACTATATAGCTTTCATGGCTGAGGTTGCTGGTACGTCTGTTGGCCCTGGGTTCCCAGTACCCAGTTGCCGAGGCTGGTTGGTAAAATAACTCCAATTTCACTTCAAGGTACCAGTGCACCTAGTGTCTGCTTTTATCAAAGCAGCATGCTGTCTATACTGGTTACCCCAGCAAGTGTAGGGTGTGCCATAGGTAACTGTCTTGGCCGTCCTATTCCGATGTACTCCGTGTCACTGTGGTGTAGACCAGGTGTGCATTGGGGGGTCGATTCACATGGCTTCGCCAGTTGTGTGGATTAGACAGTTATCTGGCGCTTGTCTTGATCTGTTTCAATCAGAATCAGATCCGCTATCGTTGCTATAAAGAGAAAATCTGTGGGTGCATATCCAGTGCATTTGCAGATTTGCGTGCTTCTCTTGCGACGGGCGTATACATGGTACACACATGGTGTGTGTGTGTGCATGTGTGTAGAAAAATCCGCGACCCAGGAGTCATAATTATATCAAAAGTTACACCCCGCTTCCATTTCAATTACATAATCATGCATAGTCCAAAAAAACCATGCGAGGGGCCCCGGCGAAGCCGCAGGGCGCATGAGCTTTGGCGCTGCTTTCATGGATCGGATTTCTTTGGATATATGACTCAATAATATTATAACTCTGTCCACACAAGTCGCGTGGATAGTTGTTACCTCAGTGCTAGCACTAAAACTGCATGTTCTTTGAATCCCACCACACAGATAATCCAGGATCAGCTTGCACTGGGCAGTGTGTGTTGTTATCCCAGCCACCCACTGTTCCCGCCACACAGTCCAGGATCAGCTAACACCTGAACACTAGCACCACCACAAGTCCATTACCATGATTACTGAAATCTTCTTGCTCTGTAATAAGACACGGGGATGCATGACTCGCTGCTAGAACTAACTTACTACTTGCAGTAGTGTAGATTAGAAGTGTGGGCCTACACATCCTCTTCCGTCTTCGTGCAGCTCAGACGTACCAGAACTACAGTACTTGGTAGAAGAGAAGCATTACCGTACACTTTTTTGTAGGTGCATCTTCATCCATAATTATGCATCGTGCTGCACATGCGCACAGCTGCAACACACACACGCACGGCTCAGTCGGTAACTCTTGCACTCCACATGCACAGTGTGAACTCGCACGGACGCGGCGCGATCCTGCTGCGCGACTGGCGGGGGTAGATTTTCTGGACTACAATACTGACACGCCTCGATCGATTGGCGTTGATTTTGGCACTCGGACAGTCGGAGTAGCTCAGCTCTCGACGGGGTTTCTTCGCTTGTGGAAACTCAGCAACCGTTACTTGCACAGTCACGAGTGCAAGAGCTGTGTTACACGTTCGCGCTGCTTGGCAGAGCTAGCTCTTCAGTTTTCTAGTTGAAGGCGTTGCACAGACTCAGTCGGTCAGTGTGCTAGCGTGTATCCTCTCCAGGCACTTGGCCAAGCACAGTCAGCATCGGCCGGTCTGTCTACGTTCACTTCCATTGAACACCTGTCCTTGCGGCGACGCGTCCATTTAATATCATGATTATTGTCCAGCGCTAGCCCGAGGTCGGAATGAAGGTCAAACGTCCGCACGGTGGACTGTTTTCAGCTCAGACTCTCGTGTTCCTTTCGTCGACGCAACCCGTTCGGCTCGGCGCTCACTAGTAGTAGTGCTGGGCTAGCTGTATGCTCTACTCAGCCTCATGAGCTCCGGTTGAGCGACTGTTGAACGACGGACAGTCAGTCACATACCGGTAGAGACTATTCAATATTGTGTAGAAGTCCCGCTCAGTCGGCACGGTGGACTCTTGCCTGCTCGGACTCTCGAGTATCGTGTTCCTTTCGTCCGCGGCGCGGCGCTGACTTATTACAAAATGTAGCTGGGCTGTATGCTCTTGTCAGCCTCATGAGCTCCGGTTGAGCGACTGTTGAACGACGAACATAGACACTACGTGTATGAGTACCGCTCCGTCGAATCATGGCGGCATTCTCAGGCCTTTGCCACTTTGGTGCGGAGGCTGAGACCTTCCAGCGGCTGTCGACAGAACACGGGAAGATAATTATGTCGAAAGTCGAC